CCTTCCTCCACAATTCTTCAATGTAACCTGTGAGGAGATCCTTTCATCAACCATGCGATTCGGATACCTACCACTAGCTGGTACATGCTTCATTGTGACGATACTTGCTCAAAGCAACATTACACCGCCCGCTTGCTCAGTGAGTGCCTCTTAATTGAAGTCCCAAGATATTTGACTGATCTTGCGGTCTTTTCAAGACGGCCTGTCTAGAGACAGCACTAGCAAGTACACAATGCGATACAACAAACCTCCAGAGCTGCTTTTGCACAAATGAGATTCTGCAAGCAAACGTCTCTATCTGCGTCCTAACAGAATGCAATTATCGAGAGCAAGTCGGTAATGCCCCTATTTTGATTTCTATCTCCTAGAATGAGTACAGATTAAATGCTGACATGCGCAGTTGCGTCAAATCTCCAAGCTATCATTTGTGAGGGGGTCCCACAGCCATCTCGCAGTAACGAAATTATTCACACTATCATCGTTTTATCTGCCTTTACTTTTCCAATTCTATGTCTGAGGTGTTTCTCCCGCTGGTCGATCACGCGCCAACTATGGTGGGATGATTGGATGGCTGTTTTGGCAGGGGTGAGGTCACCATTACAACAACGTTGGATGTACTTGACAGATACTAATGAGCTATATGCAGATTGTGATTCTTATCTTGGCTATCTTTAATGTATTAAGTAAGGATACTTCTCCGCGGAACAAGACGAAAGGAGTATTGCATTTTATGCCGACCTGGAGAACTAACGACATTCTAGTGGCTAAACTAGGCTTGGGAAGACATTTGTGGAATGTCCGTCCTGTGGACTCCACTCCCCTTCTCAAGGTTTATACCCTAGCCGTGTTTCAAGTTCCGAATTGCTTTTCTAACTGACTTAGTATTTCTATGCAGCTCAGATTCTCTACAGCCTCGCCCAAGTCCTCGCCAAACTGTCCATCCTTCTTCTATACCTCCGTATCTTTCCTCGGCCGAAATTCCGCCTGGCAACGTACATCGCGATCGCAGTCCTGATAATGGACGGCATCGTCTACATGTTGGTGCCTGCTTTTGAGTGCCTGCCAGTACGCTCAGTCTGGGATAGGAGCGTGCCCGGAAAATGCTTGAACCTTCCAGCAATCATCTACACCGGCGCGAGTACCGGTATCATCATGGATTTTGTTATCATCTGTCTTCCGATCTCAGAGCTGAAGACTCTAAACCTGACTTTGAGGAAAAAGATAACTCTTGGTCTTATGTTCAGCGTTGGATCCTTGTGAGTTATTCACCTCTTACTATGAACTATTTAACTGACATCATTTCCTAGCGCATGCATCACAAGCATCATACGCCTAAAATATCTCGCAGCGTTCGGTTACAGCTTTGACGTTACCTGTAAAGCCGCCCCTGTCTCTTTCGCATTTCCTCTCCCTCTTGAATTAGTCATAAAACAAAATAATAATCTGAGAGCCAGGGGACAATACTGATGTAGTTATGTGGTCCTTTATCGAACTCGCCACTGCGGAGATCTGTGCGTGCCTCCCGACAATCCGACCACTTCTCGTTCACTACATACCCAGCATATTCCAGAGCACCATTCGCAGTAAAAACAACACTACCACACTACACAAGGGATATAAGCCTAGAGTCCCACCAAAACTAAGCGGTGGGTACAATGGAGAGGAGCTGATGAGCGATGACGAAGGCCTGGTGAATGAGACGCAACGCCCGGAGATGGTACGGAGTAAGGTCCCGGTTATGCAAGATAATAGCTACATCGAATTGGGTTTTCGAAAAGCCGCCAATTGAGAGTCTCCCAGTTGTTACAGGCTATAATGATTCCCGAGCGTTTCGCAGGAATCGTGAGGGTTGTTTTGAACGCGGCTTTGGTACAATGGTATGGCAATTGCGCTAGGAATCGGAGGATTCAGAGGAAGTCGGGGAAGAGGAGGTTGATCCGCCGTAGAGTTCCTCATGGCTGTTGTTTGGCCGTTCAGATCTAGTTTTCACTGCTTTTGGTCCATTTGTGCCAGTGTTGCAGCAGGGAAATTAGGCAAAGATAGAAAATGATATAGTTTATATGAGAATCGCCAATAAATTATATCATGGCCAACTCACTTATGTGTCAATACGTTTCCGCCGACCGGGAAGTTTTGAGACCGTTAAACATTTCACTATTGCAGTTCGCTTTGACTTATATAATCTAGACGCCTAGAGAACTGGGATTATGCCTTTATTCACACGATTCCTTGTTGAATACTATACAGGTTGAAATGCCCGTCCGTACCCTATTAATTTTCTTGCTCACCTGCAAAAGGAATACACTTTTGCTTCTCGTTATCTGCATCAGCTGAGCTGCAGATATGTTTTGCGGATAATTCTGAATTGAGCGGGGTGGCAGGTCAATTCAAGGTATCTTAACATCTGCTGTTGCTTTTCTTCTGCATGGTTTTGAAGTCAATTGCTAAGAGATGGTTATGATTGGGCTTCACTATTTTGCTTAGGTGAGAGCACGCTTTGGCTAGGAAGTCGCATCAGAGAGCCGAAGCATAGAGCGGATTGGTGGCGAAGCTTAGTGTGCACAATGCTTGCCGAGCTTACTCTTCGATCTCATTGCCCTGTTCTCAATATTTTGTGACACGTTTCATACTAATTCACTTTTCTTTGAATGAAGTTGGGGAATCTCATTAATATCGGAAAACAACAAGTACCACATTTACTACCCAGAATACCGGCCAATATGAGTGGCTTAGTCGAGATCGACAGCTTGGAAGCTACTGTCATCATCGATAACGAGATTGATTCCCTATCCACAACGCAGCGAAACACGGTCACTAATAATGGCCGCTTGCCGAATATTGCCTTGTCATCTCCGGCCACGGTTGAGAATCGCGGAGGGTGCATGAAGGAACTTCAAATGGAGGATATTTGCTGCGGAGCTCACGGCCTATCTATCCTTCTTGTATGTCAAAAGTGCTCTCGGAAATTCCTTCGGGCTACTAAGTATGGAATAGACTGCTACTAAGGGAGACTTGAAGCATACAATGATGTTTGACGCTGGTCCCGAAGGTCAGGCATGGGAAAGGAATGCGAAGAGACTTGGCGTGGATCTCGCCTCTATTGAGAGAATATAACTCTCGCACTGGCATCGCGATCATTCCGGTAGTTCTTCTTTCCATTCAACAGTACAACGTACTCACCAACAGTGTAGGTGGCATGGAACGAGCCATCGAAATGATCACTGAAGCCAAGGGACCTGGATCTGAGCCCGTGATCGTGGATCTCCACCCTGCTCGACCGGATTACCGCGGATTTATGGCAGGACCAGTTCCAATCTCAATGCAAGCTGACCCGGCGTTTTCTGAGATCGAAGCAGCCGGTGGGAAGATTGAGAAGAATGCAGATACTCATACCGTGCTCGATGACATGTTTCTCATCTCGGGCATGATCCCGAGAGTCACGAGCTACGAGAAGGGTCTATCGAACGGAATTCGGTTTGAGAATGATAAAGGAATTTGGGTGAAAGATGAAGAGATTGCTGATGAGAGGTTTTTGATGTGTAATCTGAAAGGTAAGTGATCACCCTTAAGTTTTGGCTTGATGATCTGACGGGTCCACGAAGGGAAGGGAATTGTAATGTTCACGGGCTGCAGTCACGGCGGTGTTGTGAATGCTTCTAAGAATGCGATCGAGCTTCTGGGACGCTCAGTTCCGTTGCACGCGGTTGTTGGCGGATACCATTTAGTTGCAGGATCAGGAAGCAAATGTCCAGAATACGGTCAGGGATCTGCAAGCTTTGAAGCCCAATCTCCTCCTCCCTGGTCATTGTTCAGGGTGGAGAGTCAAGTATGAGATCGAGAAGGTGATGAAAGGGAAGTTGGTTCCATGTACTGTTGGGAGTAGATATACCTTCTAGTGATCAAAGAGCAGTGGGGTTTCTTAGATCAGGCAAATCAAAGTGCGGGAGAAACAGAGTCCCAATTTCCAAACTGTCCTCTCCGCAGCCACCAGTCATCTCGTGGTTGAATCTAGCTTTAACCTCTAACAACTCTGCTGTAGTTGTGGTGGCACATAAACTGGAGTGGCAAGAAACGAGAACAACGGAATAGATAGATATCCTGAAATGCATGGTATGGCTTCACCAAATTTCAGATGATGTCCCGTCCTGTCTTAATTTAATCTCCTTCCTACTGATTCTAAACAAGCCTTCCCTCGAGTTCTCGACTCGTGTGTTATTCTTTGCTTAAATTTGAATAATCACGGATCAGGGCATATCTCGCGATTTTTATTGTACTTTGTTATTCACAGGCTCCCATAACTTACTACAAAAAACACTCAAAACTATATTTCCTTGGCCATCAACTCAAAACGTCAACCTCAAATCGCACTCATCACGGTCACTCGGCTTAAACTCAAAGTAAATCTCAAGACTAGCGAGATTTAAAAGCAAAAGAAACTCAGAGAACATCACCATCACAAACATTACGTTCAGTAAATGCAAACCCTAGTATGCCTTGGCTCGGCCAGAACTATTTCCGTTGCTGTCAAGTAAGTTCCTATTAGCTTCGTTTTGTCAAACCAAAGGATTGATTAGGAAATAGTGTATTGCATTTTTCGGGAATCCCGCGATTGACGCCCAAAATGCCACCGAGAACCCAAATTGCGTAACTTGTGGCCACAAAGCTAATACGTGTTGCGTTTGGCTTCAGCCTGCGCGCCGTCTGCCTCCACTGTGGTAGGATACTATGGAGCGATGGGGGAAGGGTGAGAGCGACAGAGCTGCAAGATACCTAAAATGTAGCATGGCTTTCAAACAAATCCCATTGCAAGTCTTATCGTCTTAAAGTCTCCTTGGATGTTCTATTCAGATGATTTAATTTCAGAGCCACTCAAATTATCTATAACATCCGGGATATCAAATAATCAAACACACTGATTGCTATACAACTCGTGTGTTTCTTGCAAGCCCATTCACCGATACTTTTATAATTCAATATAAGCGAAACTCCCATAATTGATAGGGTTCGTAGCTTAAGGGTAAAGCGCACAAGACAAACGCAGGAAAAAGGTTGTTATGCCTAGCATTTAACGGCCTCAGGCGTTGTGAAAAATACAATGTCACTGTAGAAAATTGTGAGATGTTGGTTCGAATCCAACTGAATCCATATCTAAATTGATTTTTGTCCTTTTTTCCCCCACCGATTTTCAACTCGCATTTGACCCCGGGCTGACTTTTCATAATTTTACTTCCTCATATTTTGCAAATTAAACCAGGGGTTGTGGCATAATGGTAAAGCGTATCGAAAACACACCTTCACTTCTCTGTTCCAGGGACGGCGGCCTGAGGCTCTCGGCGTCGACAGGCAATGGTTGGGCAACTCAGTGAGATTGCTAGTTCGAGTCCAGCCAACTCTTAAATAAGTTTGAATATTTCAAAAAAAAATTAAATTTGACAGGTCAATTCGCCCAATTTCTGAGGGCGGAAAGAGCGGGGTGAAAGTCGAGGGGGAGAGGGGACAAAGAACGGGCTTTTAGCGAGCCCTTTTTTTGCTTTAGAAAGAAATGATTTGAGCATGGGGTTTCGTTCGTTCGGGAAAAATGATACGTGTACAGTGTATGCGTGTATGCACAGTACAAAGCTGGAAAGAAAGAATTTAATAGAAATGCTCGTTAGAAAGGGCTTGAATCTTCCACGGTTGTCATGAGCGAGAGCTACAGCCTTGCTCAAATCTGACCAGGCACACAGCCCTCATCAAGAAACCTCCTCCCAATAACTCTCAGGTCCGGCTTCCCCAAACCCCCACTCGCCGCCTTCCGCCACACCACAAACTCCTCCCAGCCTCCCAGCCACTAAACGTATTTCGGCTGCGCGAACCGCGCCAACGTCTGCCTTGTCCAAGTCCTCATTACTCGATCTCTCCCTTTTGGCCCCGGCGCATTCTCAGATTCGTTGCAGGGTCTCCGATTTTAGCTGGAATGCCAGGGAACAGTTGTCCGGAGGTGAGACATCGTTTTTCGATGGTATCTGTGTCCCACGCCATGGTGCAGATTGATGCGGATTCAGTGAGGCCCCAGTTAGTATGCGTCTGCGTGATCCCAAACGCCTTTCAAATCTTTCGGATCAAAGTCTTTGGAACCGCAGAACCGGCGACGATGGCGAAACGCTGGAAAGACCTGTGCAGCGGTTCTTAGTGATAGAGGCGAGGGTTTCTTCGACGTCGAAGACGGTGCCCGTGAGCTCTGACGACGGCGAGGCCGATGATAAGCCTGAAACTGTGGAAGAGTGGGACGGGGGTGCAAATTCGATCGGTGACTTCGAGATACATTGTGTCGCCGATGAAGTGGCCTGCGTTGTAGATTCCTCGGTGTGTCAAGGCTGATGTTTTGGGGTGCCCGTTTGATCCGCTTGTGAATTGGAGGTTGAGGATATCATTGGATCTAGGGTTTTCTCAATTGCGTCGACATCTGGTAGGTAGGTTCCTCCCGTGGAAATAAGATCCTCGTCATGAATGCAGTGAGAAGAATGCCGGTCTTCCCCATCAACCATAATGAGATGTTTGAAGCGCTCGATATTCTTCCTCAAATGCGGAATCCAGGGATCGTAATCGTATCGATCAAATCCTGGAACTAGAACCAGAACGCTGCTTCCGCACGATGAGAGCACGGAGTGGAATTCTTGCTAGCTGTACAGTTCCCATAATTCGCCAATGTGATGAGCGCACCTAGCTTCACCCAAGCATAGAACAACTCGACGTATTCCACTATATTTCCCATCATTATTGCGACTCGGTCGCCCTTCCTGACTCCTGCTGCAGCTAGGCCTCGCGCGAGATGGTCGCTCCTTTTGTCGGCCTCCAAATATGTCAAAGTACGGTTTCGGTGATCGGAAACGACGAGAGGTGAGGACCCATAAGTCCTTGCTTGTTCATGGAGGAGAGCTCCGAAGGTTTTGTCGACTATTTGGGAATATGGTGGTCCATGAGCGAGGGACGCTCCATGAACTGCTGCGCGGTTTATGGCTATAATGGCCTCTTTGAAAGACGGGAGATGTGCCATCTTGGATCAAGGTTTCTCGGTGATGGGAGGAAGAGGATATTGATGGCACAGATACAACGTGCAGAGAGAACTACTGTGAAAAAGGAGGCGGTAGAATAAAACAGCTCACAGCTAAGAAGAAAAGCAATGAAAAATGCATCGCATCAACTCAAAAAGTGGTGCCATTAGGTCTATATAGTGACTTACGAACTAATAAATAACAATACCTAACTAATCCCTTAACGAGAACGCTAAACATCTGTCATTCCTTCATATCCCACGGTGGTCTTGACTGTTCCCGCTTCAATATCTTTGTATCTAACTGACCAGCAAATCTCACCGCTTGACACCCGCATCTCGAGAACGTAATCGAGCTTCCTCCATTCTTCGCCCTTTTTGTTATGAAGAATAGGCAATTCTTCAAATACAGTCGAGTCAATTCTTATTTGCAGGGTACACAGAGGTCTCACACCTAGAATCTGGTCAGGATCCGCTAAAAAAAAATAGGGCCAGTACTACATACTGCCTTCTATACGGCTTTCCGCTGTAATGCTGTCTGAGTAGAAGATCTTTGAGGTTAATCTTGTCAGTTGGGTTGCTCCTGTGACGGGGAAGAAAAAGCTGTATGTCACAGGATCCTCTTTCTCCACGTTCTCTCCCTACACCGTAGTAAGAAACCAAATGGCCGATCTGCCTACAAGGAGCGGAAGCTTACTCTTTTCAGAAACCACTTCAGTTGATTACCCGCAACCCATATATCCCGCACACTGTCATATTTTCGATCTTCTTGGAGGTGTTTCTGGTCAACAAAGTCCGGATTGTAGACACACCCGTAATTGTATTTGGAGATGTGGTTGACGACTACATCATTGCCGAGTCCCTTCAAGACGGCACCACGACAGATAGCCGCCCAGCTGCATATTTCTGTCAGTTGACGACTTAGGAACGGTTAGGGCTTGGAGACTGACGCTTTGTTCGGTTGCTGTATCTCAACATGGTCGAAGCTTCTCGCAAGCTCCTGCCGTAGATAGATATTCTCCCCGAAACCACCCACGAGAAGAATTGCCTGGTCAAGTTAGTTCAAGAATACAATAAAACCATAATTGCACATACTGCAGCTTTTTTGCCCTCTCTAGATTCAGCGACTGAAATTTGAGTGCTGACCAAGTGCGTGATATTTTCACAAACTTTACTGAAAATAGCGCTCAAGTGGCCTCTGCTCGCGTAAGCCAAGTTGAAAGGCGGTCTTAGGTATTGGATTACTTGCGTTTTCAATACCAATGTTCCTGGATCAACCCGGGTCAAACTATCGTTACTCAACCAGGGACTCTTTCCTCGCATATCCGAGAGGGTTCGGTGTGATGAAAACCCCCCGGGAAGCCTTCGATCTGGTTCTGCAACTTGGGGTTCCGGAACATGGATCCCCAAGTACCCGGGAATATCTACATGCCACTTCTCGTCCTCAGGCTCGTCAATTTTGAATGAACGCTTGATACCGAGTTCCCAGTCGTTCATCATTTTCCTTTTGGCTCTGCTTGCGAGGCCTTGATATTCATCGTGGGTTATCAAGGTGCGAATCAGATTTTCAAAGGCTGCATCTAGAAATATGGCACCGCACAAACCACCTGTTCGGAGTCAGTCAAGTAACAAGAATGGCCCTGATCCTTGGGAGTTTTGCGGTATGCCATACCAGTGGCTTCGCAGACCATCGCAAGTCTTACGGGTTCATTCACTTGTTCGATTTTATAGCTTATTAGATCCTTGGAATGTCAATATATCTTGACTATCTCTAGAGTGACTGACTCACGACAGTGCCTCCGCCCGCATCACACACTACGAACACGTCTCCTTTCTGTGTTTTCTTAGTCAGGTTCGAGGAAGGAATAGACACTAACCTGTAAGCCCCGCATCTTCTGCGCACGCATCTCATTGAATACTGACAAAGCTGCGGCTTCGGGCTCGCCGATCAATTCAAGTGTCGTAGCAGCACGTTCTAGCATACCTGCCATCTCAGCAGCTCTTTTAGTTAGCTCTTGTGCCTTGTGATCCCAAATAGCCGGCACTGTTAGAGCGATCTTGATTTTGATGTTGTCCCAGAGATTCTTCCCAATCCCTTTGATGATTTCATTCATGGCGTGCGTCCACAGGCATCGTAGATAATCCGCCACCACCTCAACTGGAGTCTTTTCGTTAACTTCCAGCAGGGTTTCCAACCTTTTATATCGTTGAAGCTGTTCATTCTGGAGCTGTTCTTTTGCTTGATCTGATAGAAGTAGCTTGAACCAAGATAGTGAAGGATTAGATTTGTCTAGTTTGTATCCCCATGACGATACCAAACATTCGTCATCATAGGTAATGACCGACGGGACTTTGTGGAGTTCCTTCTGGCCCGGCATATCGGAATTCCAGCCTGTAACAATGTTGATTTCTGTGGGGGATGTAGACAATGCCCAAGCCACACCAGAGAAACTGGTAGAAAAATCAGCACTATCCCGTTAAGTAGACCAATCAAAAGAATAAAATTGATGAGGTGTCTTAAGTTGCGAGAAGAGGGATTTCCTGCTCACGTGGTACCCAGATCCACTCCGATGGATATCATGGTTTCGACATCCTCTTTGTCGCCATTCTTGGTCCCAAGGGTTTCTTTAGGCCCAAGTTCCGCTTCACTGACTAGATCTAATCTTGACCTTCGAAATCTCCGAGCCCTAGGGTGAGTAGCACTTGTTGAGGCTTGCTGTAGAGGAAGTGAGAATGTTGATTGCCCCCACGCCGCCCGAGTCTCGTCGCCAAGAAGCTTATCCATATTGAGATGAAGCAATTTGGTTCCGGTAGAGGCCACAGAAGGACATGAAGATGTCTGTGTGAAGGAGCCAAAGAACGTGAATCCACAATTCAGAATGTATTCTGAGGCTGTAGGATGAGGATTTGAAGAGTGTGCCTGCTCGCAGCCTTGGGGAGGTGTCAGAAAAAGCAAGTGCGACTCTGTTTCGAAAGCCTTCTTCGTTGTCCAATGCAAAATGGAAAACGGCTCTTGCCGTGGGGCGGAGCATGTCCAGTTTCGTTGGCTGTGGGCTGTCTGTCTGGGGATCTCAGCTGTGCTGACATGCAGATGAAGTTGCTTTTTTCAGAG